TGTCCTGTAAGTGCGTATTGAAAATTCTGTTCTTTTACATCACTTGGTGGTCTGGATTAACACATTTCTTTTTGTGTGTTAAACACGCTCCAGTATTTTCTGAAGACTCAAAGATGCAAGTTTGGTATTAAGTGCAAATTCAACCACCCAAAAGATAAAATAGTCCCCCTGGTAGGTTTCTTTGCCAAGGTTTAATTCCACTACTTTTAATGGGATGACTTTCCAACTTGTTGCTTGTAAATTGGCTTCAGGATGCTCCAGATAATGCTGATGTCTCTGCCTTACCTGAGAGGCCCTCAGAGCTTCCATGTGCGGTATGGTATTTGATTTTTCTTGTGAGTGCAATTTGTTATAGAACTGATTATTAAACTTTATTTGATTGAACCAGTTCTATATAAAGACTGGAAAGTGTAAATTCGGCGCAACCTGCAAATTTCATCACCCCAAAGGTGTTGAAGTGCCATCAACTGGAGAGGAATCTGCTACTTGGCTGCAGAATGAAATGGTTGGAGATTCAAAGCCAGCGCAGTCACTTTATACCCCAGCATTGTTGCATAACACCAAAGGTCTTCCTATCAGACCGGTAATTTTTATCTTAAGATCGTGCTTATTAATAATATAATCCGTTGATAATATAAATTACTTCTGAAATTTAAATGACCCAATGGGCACCTCAGTGAATGGTCAGTTACTCTGCAAGTTTGTCGTGATTTTTACAAGTATCTTAGTTTTAGCAGATATTCTATTGATCATCTTTGGGCAAAAAGTCACCCTTGCAGCTTCAAATTGCTCCATTTGATTGCTGAAAACTGTAAACTAAAGATTTAATACACACGGCATTATAATAGCCATTTTGTAAACTTTCTTTTATTCTGGCCATATATAGCATGAATCTTAAATGTTAATTGTCCAAACTAATCAAAATGTTCATCTCCTTTTATAAATGCTCTCCGAATCCCCATCCTAAGGTAAGGTAAGGTAAAGAGGAGGAAATTTAGTCCTGAAATTGGAATTAGCAAAGATATTATCGTTCTCCTGAAAAATGTATGTTATGAACCAGGTCAAAACTTAGGTCTTCTTTTTGTTTTAAAAATTTAGGCTTCAAATGTACTCTTTACTCATCTGCTTACTTTTGTTTCAGGGTGAAGTTGATTGCCCATTTTACCTAAAAACTGGCAGGTCAGTATTTTGTGTAACAACTGGAACATTTATCCTAAAAGAGATAAATAGTGAGGGATGTCTGATTGTTTTGAAATGTTTTATTTAATTAATCAGCTGCAAGTATGGCACCACATGCCGGTACAATCATCCTGACAGACATGGTAACTGGGTGTTCACCTTGTTTTGACATTTTTCGGTTGACCTAATGTTTCAAAGATAAAACTCTTTTTTTTTTTTGTCGCAGCAATGAACCCTCTGACTGCTGCTATTGCACCTGTTCTAGCTTCTCCCGCACACTTTAGCTTTGGAGCTGTTACTCCAGCTGCCTCTCTCCTTCCAACTTTTGATACTAGGCTGACTCAGACATCGGTAAAGTGGAGATTGTTTATGCTTTCTGCTGGTTCAAAATATCCTTATGGTGTATGAAATTGACTAATTGAGATTGTTCAAGTGTCTGATATTTTGCGTGCTGTAGTTTGTTTAGATTTTTGATTTGTTTCTTATCGTTTCATTGTTGAATTCATAAATATTTTAAGTTTTTTATGATTTAATTCGGAACTTATGCTGTCCCTGTTAAGCTACGTTTATGATATGCACCGAACCATCTTATGATAAAAAAATGCAAAGATTATATTTGATTTGCGAAGTCATGTTACTTGTGTCCGTGTGTCTGATATTGCTTCTACTAGCTTTTGAATGTTTATTTGGTTTTGTGCTTGATAGAAAGTGCAATTTTTATATTTTGAAGTTCTACTCATGAATGTTTATTTCTTTGCCTTCTGCAGATTGGATTGACCCCGAGTATTTACCCACAACGACCTGGACAGCCAGAATGTGATGTGCGTGCCCACTCGATTTTCATTTAGTTCAAGAACATCTACTTTAAGAGTAATTTATCTGGCAGTAATATGATTTTGCCTTTGGATTTTTATGTGTGGATCTTATTGTCTATGTTTTGGTCTTACAATGGAAGTGTCAGCCTCTACTATTTAATCTAAAGAGAAATATATGTCCATTTTGAAGTGATGATGCCATTGAATGAGCAATTTTGCAATGAAGTTTCCTTAGATATTTGTCTTTACTATTTCAGTGCTAGCCATGTATTGTCTTTCACAGTTTAGGTCCAATAAATGCTGTCAACAGCCTGTGTATATGTTCTATAAACCTCCTTGCTAGTGCAGCACTTTGAACGAGCATTAACTTAAATACTTATCCTTTTGAAGCTTATGTATCCACAGGTTATTTTTCTTATCCTGATGCCTTTTTATTTCCTGTTCAGTACTACATGAAAAATGGGGTTTGCAAGTTTGGCGAAAACTGTAGGTTTCACCATCCTATTGATCGATCAGCACCTACAGCATCAGTAAAAGAATCTGTGCAGCAAAATGTCAAACTCACTCTTGCTGGCCTACCAAGGAGAGAGGTATCTTCAGCCTTTTATGGTAACTTAATTACAGAACCTTTTAGTTTGTACTCGGAAATGCAGTTGATGTTCAAAGCAAACAGTAGTCCGCAACTGTTTATCATCTCTTAAACGTGATTGCAGTTATTTAGATCCTATATTGCCTACTTTTAATAATTCAGTTCGTGAACACATTTTGCCTCGATGAATGAGGTTGTATCTTGGAACAAATTAGTAAATGTTGTCTGCTCTAAAAATAGATCAATGTTGAATTAATAAATTTGCTTGAAGTGGCGGTGCACATCAATTGATTCAGTTTGTATTTGTGCTTCAATTTTTAATTTGAGGGGTTAGTGGGCATTCAATTACGATCTGGATTGTCCTAATGCTGCTAGTTTTTGCTTGAGGTGGATGAAACTGGATAGTAAGTGAAATTTAGTTTCTCCTCCTCGTTGTTACTCTTTTTGAAGTAATTATCATTATTGTATGTTGGAACAGTTGCTAATAGTTAATAAGTAAATATTAGCTTCTTGTAACTTTACCTCAAACATTTACGCTGTTACATATATTGAGAACTTCCCACATCAGTGGTGGCGGTCTTACATTTCTAATTAAATTTGATTTGCAGAGCAACTGCTATGTTGATTGTGTTTTGTAGGGTGCCATACATTGCCCATATTATATGAAGACTGGGACATGCAAGTATGGAGCAACATGCAAGTTTGACCACCCACCTCCTGGAGAGGTCATGGCAATGGTAACATCACAAGGAGCATCGGCTTCTGCTGGAGAGGAAGTGAAAGAGAATGGAGAGGAGGCTTAAGCTATTGAACTGCAGCAATAGAGTTTTGCTTAAATGAGCCGAAAATATTTTCTCCTGGGTTCTTTTTCCCCGACCTCCTTTTGGCTGTATCCTGGACATCGTGTTTCGTAAACTATTTCTTGGAAAATCCAGTATGCTGTTCGGCATGGTTTTTGATTAATGACAATTTAGTCGTGAAAAAAAAAAGTTTACTTGCTCAATTGACATTAGGTTTGTTTGAACTGTGCTGGGATTTTGCTTTTGGAAATATTTTAATGATATATACTCTCGTGTATGTTGTAGGCTATTATAAGGGATTTAAATGGGACGAGCTGACCTGAGTCACTCGGCTCGCTCAACCAAAGTCTGGCCTTGCGGCTCCCCTCACCAAGGGCAATCCTTTAAGAGACTTTGGTTGAGCTGGCCTGCCCCGCCAGGGTGTGGCTAAGCTTGCAAGCTGAGAGCATTTTACTCATTATGGCAAGCTAGTTTGCACACGAATCAACTTGTGTGAGCTGATCGAAATTGCTATTAAGGCTAGTCAAGTTGACGAGCAGTTTTTCCTACTTAACACCTCTTGGGCTATTCTACTTGACATGTGAAAAGGTGGAATTTGTTGTGTAGTGGCATTTTCTTGTTTTGCATTCGTTTATTGGTGGAGAGAATGTGAAGTGGCAAGACGACTGAAAATGTTACCAGAGGGTTATTGTTGCAAATCTAGAGCATCACTCGACATGAATTGGGCCTATTTTATAGCAGGATTTGTACAACTCGATTAATGCTCCGGGGTGAAGAATTCAGTTACACTTGCTGGATTGAGGGAATGCGGGGCTTGCTTCCTTCAAGAGACATGATCAAGTGTGCCACATACTCGATCTCATAGATACTCGAAAGGATTATACTTGATGAGGAGGTAATAAAGCAGAGCTAACAAACGGGGGACCAATGAGCTTTTTAAGAGGGGCTTTTGAAACTTGATTTGTCGCAACAAGAGGTTATGTTTCCACCTTTGTAAGTAGGGATCGTTTCTCAAGAGTTATGATCCTCTGCTCGATGGTGGCCTAAGGTTCATCTTTCGCGCTAAGGCTAGCATCTCATCCCACCTTTCATCCACTAGTATTTCTCATTTTTCATCCTAACTGCATCGAGCTCTCCTCGAGAAAGTGTAAAAATGTAACCTGCTGCGCCTTGATTTCACATAACACTTGATTTTAGGTGATAAAGGATTTTATTATTCACTAATCATCTGGACTTCAAGCTTCTGTTTGTTATTTATTAAAAAGAGTTTTTTTCGGAAAAGGAGAGTTTTGGTTTAGTGAATTTTTGGAGATTGTGTGGTTAAAAAGTAAAAAAATATTTTGGATTTACGTGTAAATCACTTTATCATATGAATGTGTGGTTGAAAATAAATTCGACCAACAAGAAGTTCTGAAAATCTGGATAACAAAGTTTCAAATTGTAACGAAAGCCCGCTATTGTAATTTATGCTACAGAGCAGTTGTGACGTGGCATCACCAGAGCTACGAATTTTTCCATGGTTGTATTTATGAGGATAATTCAATTCATTTCTTCTTGTGAATTTCCCGATACGAAGAGGAGAAAATAGGCGTTTGATTTTCTGCTATGTTGAGCAAAATGATAGGTGTAGAATCCCAAGCTCAGTTACCAGCAACCTTCAATCAAGCTCAAGTTTTCTCATCTGCAAGTAGCATAATTATCAGTAGAAAAATTAGTTACTCCAATCGGAACAAGAATCAGAATCACAATTTTTGCCGTTTCACGTTGAGACCTCATTATCCTTCATTTTTTACAAGGAAAAATTCTAATCCTACTTCATTTACAGCTTTTGTTAGTAAATCTTCTCTCGACTCCTCGAAACCACCTCCCGACTCTAAACCAAATCAGGTTCGTTCTCTAATTTTGATTCTACAGCTCCTAATAGAATTTTTGCTATTTATGTTTTGGGCAATTCTTGAAAATGTGTGTTTTTATGGTCTTAGGAGGAGGATGCTCAAAGAAAGGTTCCAGATGTTCAAACGCTGGCGAGGAGGTTCTGGAAAGTGGCTGCTCCATATTGGTTCTCGGATGACAAAACCCAGGCGAGATGGCAGCTAGCTACTGTTTTTGCTCTTACTTTAGGAACGACTGGGATTAGTGTTACCTTCAATTTTCTTGGCCGTGACTTTTATAATGCCCTTGCCAGTATGCTTCTTAACCTTCCTTTTATGTTATTTTTATATTGGGGGCGATAACATGTTTCCAGCAGAATGATGGTGAACTTTTTTGTTTTTGTTGATTTGTGGTAGACAAGGATCAAGAACAGTTTACCACGCAACTGTTGTACTACCTTGCTGGTTTTGCTGGTGGAATTCCGGTGAGCACATTGCTCCGCTTTCTTAGGTATTCCTCGCGATAGTCTTTTCAGCATTTTTGAGCAGATGTGGCAAATGCCCCAGGGGAGAATTCAGTTACAATCCTTAGAATCATATCAAAATCCAGTCTTTGGAGTTTCTGTTTGCTGGAAGGTTATTCCCAGCATCCCAGTATCATGAAAAATCACTTGTAAAGCCCATGGAATATTCAATTCGTCCGTCTGTCAACGCTGAACAATATACTGGCTCTTTTGATCGTTGCTTTTTCTAAATTCCTGATTCATAGTCTTAGACTCAGTTTGTCGTCCTGGTATTTTCCCTATGGTACCATGGGTATTAGACTGTAGTATGGAAAGGCAAATACAAAAGTAACTGGGACAGAAAAAAACTCTCTTCCCTATCCTCTCTTATCAAAATAAAATACAAGGAATTTTTTCCCTCATATTAGTAAAAGTCATAGAGATTGAAAATGTAAATGTAAATGTTTGAATTGGAAGGAAAAAAAACCATCCCTTAGGAACTTTTGTCTTTTCATTTTTTTTTTAAAATTGTAACTGGACAAGGGTAAAGGTTTTAGTGATACATTGGTTCATTTTCTTCACTGAATACTATATGCTAAAGGACTCTACATGGTCATTTCAGTCAAGCAATACTTCTACACCTGTTTTTAATATGATTATGTTGTTCATTTCTGTTGATTTTATGAACAAATCTCATTCTTGCTATTGTCTTTCAGGTATTTGTTCTGAGAGATTATGCAAAAGATACTCTTTCTTTGCGATGGAGATCTTGGATGACAAGCTATTACATGGATCGCTATCTAAAGAATCGGACATTTTACAAAATACAATCCCAATCAATTATTGATAACCCTGATCAACGGATTGTTGATGATTTAAGTTCCTTCACGGGAACGGCTCTTGCGTTTTCATTGACACTCTTCAATGCTACTGTGGACTTGATATCTTTCAGTAATATCTTATATGGTATTTATCCACCTCTTTTTATTGTCCTTCTGGCATACTCACTAGGTGGAACAGCTATCAGTGTCTTCCTTGGGAGGGTAATTTTTTATTTTTGAAAAGTAACGTGTTCATTATAAGTACTTCCTGTATGTGCTAGCAATTGTTTTTTTATGGTAGGAGAGATGTTTCCTCTTGATAATGTAAGCTGTTTACCATCAGGGATTGGTGACTCTGAACTTCTTGCAAGAAAAAAAAGAAGCCGATTTCCGTTATGGACTAGTGCGTGTTAGGGAAAATGCTGAATCGATTGCATTTTACGGTGGTGAGGAAAATGAGATGCAACTCCTGCTGCAGCGTTTCAGAAGCGCATTTGAAAATCTCACCGTATGGAAACTTTTCGACTACTTCATTTGGCTTTGAAATTTCATTTTCTTTATGACCAGCACCTCTTTGACTAGTACTTGAGGCTTAATTATGTTGTCTTCTGACTTCATATGTTTAGAAATGGGATATTTCATTTCTTTCTTATTATGCTTCATTTTTCTCCATCTTTAACTTTACAGAAATTGTTGATATCTTCCAGAAATCTGGAGTTCTTCACCAGTGGCTACCGATACTTGATCCAGGTTCTTCCTGCTGCAGTTGTTGCACCCATGTATTTCTCCGGAAAAATTGAATTTGGAGTAATCAATCAGTCTGTATCTGCTTTTAATCACATTCTCGGAGATTTTTCTCTCATCGTGTACCAATTTCAGGCTATTAGTGCATTTTCTGCAGTCATTGACCGACTAGGTATACTGTCTTCTCTGTGGGAAACATGCTCAGTTTGTTTTGAATATATTGAAGTAAAATAAGTTGTTAGGATAAATTGCAAATCATATAATATTCACTCAGAAACATCATGGCATGATCAATGTCTTGAGAACTTTTCCTTTGTGTGGGGGGGAACTTAGTGAGAAAATAATTTGCCAGATTCCAATTGAGTAAATGTTTGATCGAGTATCGACTGACATAGCATCCAACCCTATGTCAAATTGGCATTATGTGGAGGAATATCTCTTAAAGACTTCCAATCTAACTTTTTCTTTACACGGATTTTTTTTTGCAAAATGAGTAGCCTATGCAACTTAATACTACTCCTGAGTATATCATTTTTCCATATCTTGAAGATTTTATGAAAGAGTCGAGAGATCTGTATCTTCTCAAACTTGATATAAAAGTGGCTTTAAGACCCCATTTGTCATCGAAAGAAGGAAGAGCAATATCCTGGTTGCATATCTCTAAAAATGATGCTGGCTTCAGCTGCACTTTTATCACCGGTGCTGTCATTAGAAGCTACTGGGCAGGCGCGACCAATAAACCTAGAAACATTTAGAGGGAAAGCACTTGGTCCATCTGACGGTCAACAACTTAACTAGAACCTCTAGTTATCCAAATGGATTCTTTGATTTAACTTTGATGATGAAGTGCGTTTAGGTGGATTTATTGACCTAGTCAATTTTGTTGGATATTGTGAGTTGTGAGCACCATTTGTAATAGGTTGAAGTCAGAGTGAATACACAAAACAAGGGGTTGAACCTTATCGATTATTGAATTTATTTCTATCATTGCGTTCTATGTGATTTAGCTATTTCAAAAATATGGGAGTTAGAACATCAGATGGCATCTTTTTAGAACTAGTTGTCACCTTTTTTTGATAAAAGCTCGACCACGTTCAAATTGGTGATTTGATATGGTTGACTGCCACCGAAAACTTTTTGGCAATCCATTGCTAGACGGGAGTTGATAAAAATTTTCAGTCTTTAACTTCATGGGAAATACCTAAAATTGATCGTGCTTGTTGTACATGTTGCCATCTCAGTTTTTTTTCCTGTTCCCCATTGGTCCGAATCAGTGTGCTTGCTTTTAAAATTTCATGCCAGGTTATAAACTTCCAAGTATATTTTTTTATTAGTTCATCAATACATTTCAAAATGTGGCATACAAAGTATGGTTTGAAAGCCATGTTTAGTCGGCACTAGTAAATGATATTTAACTTGAATTATATTTTCCACAGATTATTTTGCTTGCAAGTGAAGTTCTAATTTCTTCAATAAACTTGTTGATTTGATCATGCAATGTTTTGACATTATAGTTGTTGAAGATATGGAAAGAATAATCTCTATGATATTTTTCCAATAGTGTTGGATTATTTTCCTTAATAGTTGATTGTATAATTATTATGCAATATTTCCTTTTAGAGTTATTTATAGCCCTATAAATAGGGTCTTTTACTTTGTAATAGAAACAAGTTTATTATATATATAATATTTTTCACATGATATCAGAGCAGTTTCGATCCTAAACAAATTAACCTTTGAATTTTGTTTCCGGCGAGCGGCCTTGAGCTGCTCGTCCGGCTACCAAGTTTTTTTTCTTTTCGGATATATCCCTTTGGTTTAGTATATGTCCAGTTCATTTGGAATTTGGTTTAGTATATGTCCAGTTCATCCAGAATTTGATTTGGTGTTGGTTTAGTGTATCCGAAATTTGAAATTTGCATCCAGTTTATTTGATATTTATCAAGCTAGAATTTGAAATTTGCATCCATTTGGTTTAGTAGTGGATGCGTTGGTTACTTGCAGATATGAGTGTTCCTTCTTCGTCTCCAGCTTGTATTGAGATTGACTATCATCTGATTTCTCCTTCAAGTCTTGGTGATGGTTTGATTAGATTGATGGATGATGATTTTTCATTATCATCAACTTTGAGTTATTTGTTCGGCTTGGTTAATACACAAGCAATTTAGAAGATTTGATCGGATCGATTTATCTTTCAAACTCAATTTGATTGCTGCTACACTATATTGAATTTGAGGGAGGGTGTTGAAGATATGTAAAGAATAATCTCTATAATATTTTTCCAATAATGCTGGATTATTTTCCTTAATAGTTGATTGTATAATTATTATGCAATCTTTCCTTTTAGAGTTATTTATAGCCATATAAATAGGGTCTTTTACTTTGTAATAGAAACAAGTTTATTATATACAATTTATAATATTTTTCACAATAGTTTTCTTGTAGGGACACCTATGAGTTTCTAACTGCAACCATGGGCAAGCATAAATTTTGACACCTTTCAAATTTGCAGGTGAATTTGATGATGTATTAAGTAGTGACACCAGAAATGATGGCGAATCCATGGAAGAAATTGAGCGTGATTACTGCAGTACAAACAGTTTTAGTGCATTGAAGTCTAATGGATCTGTGCCCCTTGCTGGAAGTGTGAAATTACTAAATATTGAGCATTTGACTCTATTAACTCCAAGCAAGGCAACTCTTATCAGGGACTTGTCATTGGAGATTTCTGAGAAGGAGAACCTCCTGGTTAGATTCTATTTATATTTTTATCTTGTATATATCATCTTGTGATGTTAAATAAATGAAAGAATTGATTGACTGCTGGTGTATAGCTGTATTAACAGGTTACAGGGCCAAGTGGAAGTGGTAAGACTTCATTATTGAGAGCCATAGCTGGCCTCTGGAATTTTGGACAGGGAACAATCACATTCTACGACAAAAATGCAAGGAGTCCTGAGCCATGTGTTTCCACAGGCATGGCTTCTGGTGAAGTAACTTCTGCAAGTGAGACCAGTCCAGATCACAATAGACAGAGAGAGAGAAATTCGAGTGTACTTTTCCTTCCTCAAAAACCATACATGGTTTTAGGGACTCTTCGTCAACAATTGCTTTATCCTTACTGGAGTGAAGATCCGACTTTCGTGTCAGATAGTAATAAACCAACTGGTATGACATATTTTGATCTTGTTACCACATATCTAATATTTTCTCTCACAGCATGTCTGAAACAAGATTTATTACCAGTCAAAGCTTGTTGTAATTGTAGAGAAACTCATCCATACAATTACTTGGCAATCACTTTGGTTTGTGATTATACGTTATTGCATATGCCATGCTTTTAATCAATGGACAAGTAATAAAAAATATATCAATTCTATAACTGAATTTTTAGGGGTTTATATTCGATATAAATAACATGGATTATTGTTTTACTATTATTTATTTATTTCTTTCTTTCTTACTTTTGTTTCATTCTTATTAATGTTTATGTTAATAATATTGTTTCCTCTTTTGTTGTTTGATCAAACATCAAAATTTGAAATTATTTTATTTAATTGTTGTCAACTTTCAGTAGAACTGTGTTTGAGAGAGATTGGAAGCGTGTCTATTTAATGAAAAATATGCACTAGATTGTAACTTATGAAAAAAAAAATATATGTTAAAAACATGGAAAAAAAATTGAATTGTACTAAAGTAATAACTAATAACTATGAGCCCGTTTGTCAAAAGGAGCTTTTGAAATGTCAAAAGGAGCTTTTGAGATCCAAAAGCAACTTTTGGAACCGTTTGATTAATTTTATGAAAGTGTTTTTAAAAGGGCTTTTTGTGGAAGTTTGTCCAATGTGACTCTAAAATTACTTTTGAAATAAGAAGTGCTTTTATAAATTAGTTTTCAAATAAAAATTAAAGTAACTTCCTCAAAAAGCTCTTTTACAAGAAGCAAAAGCTAAAACAAAAGCCATGCCAAACGTGCCCTAAGTGAATGTTTCAATTGAAGTGAATGCATCATCACTTGCCCAAATCTTCACAGCACATACTTTTTAAGTCTTGGAAGACTCTCTGTCAGATGCATTTTTGGCGGCTTGAATGATGAATGGGTCTCGGTGATTCATTCCTCACATTGACGTGAATTACCTAGCCTGATGTCATTCTTCTGGGAAATAGATCATTCTGCAATGTAGATTTGAACCTCGTAATCTGAGTTGGATCCACATCTTAAGTTCATCATCTGGGGTGGGCAAATCATGTATATGTGGGTGTGGTCCATGTAGCTATCAATATCTTATTTATTTTTCATATGTGGATGATTTTTTGCTATCTTTAGTACTGGTGTTGTCTTTGAAATGACTCACAAACCCCCTTCTGTGGATAAGTTGAGGACAAGGATGTTGGTGAAGGAGGATTAATTGACAATTTGCTCAAAACAGAGGTTTGAAGTAATTTGTTGTTACCCTCTGTAACACGAGGATTAGATTTATGAGAAATAGTGATGGTGGATTTATCGACGTTTTAACTTCTATTTTTGTTTACTATATCTGATTGTGACGAGAGGATACAATGTATGAAATTATACCATCAGAAGGTGTACAAAGGGTGAATTTTCTAAAAGCTTAACAACTAAAGAGGTATGTGTAAATTAGGCAATCCTCCTAAGCCATAAAATGGTGTAGGCAAAATTTGACTTGGCTTTGTTAATGGGGTATTTAGCTCCCCTAAGAGCTCTCTTATTTCCATAATCCCACAAGCAGAAGAAACAAAAGTTGCTGAAGAAAGGTTATTGCCTTCCATGTATTTTGTCTATGGAGTTTGCATTAATGTTAATAGAGATTGCCCACCTTGATGCAAGGTTTTGAGAACTAGTGCTAGAAAACAATTCTTGAATAATATTTCCAAAAAAAAAAGAAAAATAACGAGTGAGATGATTTATCCTTTTGCACATGACAGATTATTGTTCAACTGCAGCTTTGTATGACAGTAAACTATGAAATTGAATTGGGTCATACAGATTATAGACAAGTTCTTATAGTAGTCTAAGAGTTGATGTGCCTCACTGCATCCCGACTTGCTGAATAATGGGTCGCGAACTTTTTCAATCTGGAGACTTCATATGCAAAATGTTTCTTCTATTGTGAATGGTTTGTGGCATATGAATCTTACTGATGCATGGGCTCTAGCTTTAGTTCTGGAATTATCAAGACATTGATTTTACAGGGTCACTGCCTTTTCTGATGCCTGAACCAATTAAAGCACACACGGATACAAGGCCATCGAAGCCAACAACTAATGATTTAACTCAAGTCCTGGAAGACGTTCGACTTGGCTATATATTATCACGTTTTGATCTGGATTCTACGTATGAATGGTCTAGTGTTCTTTCCCTTGGTGAGCAGCAACGTCTAGCATTTGCACGTTTATTGCTTTCTAAACCAAACTTGGTTCTGTTGGATGAATCTACCAGTGCTTTAGATGAAGCCAATGAGGTAACTAATATGGATCTCTTTTTATTATACGCTTTGACTGAGTTCCATGGTGCATATGTTCCTATACACTCTCTTTATATTCAGACTATTTTATTAATCAAATCAACAATTACAATCATATACTTCTTGCACGCTTCTTGTGACCTACGTCCTACTGTAACCCAGTGCAATTATTTTCTTTGTTTGGACTTTCATGAGGTCCAAACATTAATATGTGCATTATATTGAGTTCCCATGTTAATGGTTCAACTCATAGGCCACATGGCTGTAAAATTATGAGTAATTAGTTACTTGGTTGAATTATCCCTATGAAAATCTGTTCTTGAGACTACCATAGGCGTTTGTCATTATATTAATTTATTCTTTTCAAAAAATTACAAATTTCACAAGAAGTGCGATCACGTATCTTTTGCACTGCAAGAGTTATTTCTACAGCACTTGCAAAGGAAAACACATCACTTAATTTGTTACTTGCCACATTCCTCTTTCTTACTGGTGCAGTTATTCGCCTGTCGAGAGTAGCAGCTATTTATTAGCTGGAAATCTCTCTTTTATGTAATTTATTTGCAATTCTCTTTCTTTGCTCTCTACGGATGATCTGGGACATCTGTTGCTTTATATACCTAACACACATAACTTTGTGTTTCCAGGCACATTTGTATAAGCTAATTGAATTTGCGGGGATTACGTACATAAGTATTGGCCATCGAAGAACCCTCTATGAATATCATAAGAAAGTCTTACATATATCTACAATGGACCCAACCACTTTGCAGCGCAATTGGAACATCGAGCCCATCAATAGGGACTTCACTTACAATCTATCTAAGCAGTAGTTACAAGCTTTCAAGGGATGTGGTATGTTCCTTTTGCTCTGTTGATTAGAATAGTTTTATTATGGATGACGAATGCTACGAATTTCCAGATTTCGTGTTCCATATTGACTCAGATATCATTAATGTGGGATTTATTCGGGTATCATACACGTATACTGTAATTTAATAGATATAGAATATTGAAAGCCAACTAGTGCATTTATTTCTATGAGCCAAGCAAGCTTTTTCAGTGTGCCTAGATACAATTATTAAGATTTTAATGTATCTCGTTGTACAATATTGTCTAGTGTTATCTAGCCCATCTTACGAAACATGCTAAAAATGGTGGTAAAATGCTCGGATTGAAAGAAGGGAAATAGGAATGACTAGCTAGGAGGGGGAAGTGGAGGGATTTTTCCCCAGAAGTTGTAGAGTCCTTTCACGTTCCCCGCAAATAGAATTGAGATGCCCATTTGGTTTGGCTAAAAATTAGATCTTTAGTAGATATTAATAAAAATTGATGTAATATACGGTCGAAAAGTTGATGAAAGTTGTAGATTTCATATATAATACGCAAGTAAAATTAATTGTTAATTTTGATTTAGATTTTTACCAACTTTTTTAGTCAAACCAAACCTGAGCATAAAATTAAGTATTCTTAAAATATGGAAAACGCAATATTTTGATGATATCAATGTAAATTCCGAGGTTTGGGAGTCAAAGAATGGAAGAATATGTTCCTGAATACATGCATTAACTTTTAGCTCTTGAAAATTAGAAGGGGGATTGATTTGTGGGATCTCTCAAATTCAACATCACTGATTGCTATGCTAGCATTGGATTCAAATCATTATAGAGTTGCACAAAGACATATCACTTCACCACTAATTAAGCTACAGAATTAATTAATGTTTCACAGTATTCGTGAAGGCGACGGCAATATACACAACTCAGTAATATGCAGTAAATGTCATTAATCTGCGTGTTTGACCAGAAATTAGGCATGTACAGTATATGGGATCAGTTTGTTAAGCTTTTGAAAAAGTCAGAATATGTTTTTGAGATTTAGAAATTGCTTTTCATGTTTGAATAATTTTTTGAATTAAGCTAAATGAACATAATGCTTGATATAGGGGTTGACCAAACACTCACATTGCATGTGGGTCCCGACCTGAATTAAATAATGCCGACCTTCTCATGTGTGTGTGTTGTGTCATCCCCTATGTCAAGCATTATGTTTGTTTAGCAAAATTCAAATTTTTTTGAATGCTTTGTCAGATTAGAAGAAATTTTAGAGGAAGTTGATTTAAGGGCTTGCCTTGTAAGGCTTCTGTTTTTGCTATTGTTTCTTGTAGAAAGGTTTTTAAGAAAGTTATTTTAAGTCAACTTTCTCTAAAAGCTCTTTTTAATCAAACAAGGCATTTTAAGAAAAATTATCCAAGCATGTTTAAACGTAACTTTATAGTTTTAAAAGTAGTTTTTGACTTTTTAAAAGTCCTTCCAAATGGGCCTTAGGATAGCTTGTTCGCCAAGCGCTTGAAAAAAAAATAAAAAAGCTGTCAAATATGTCACGTGCAACGAAAGGAAGAGCAAATGAAAGGTTGGGTGCTCGTGGGGCGTGCCACCCGGCCTCGAATGAGAGGGGGCTTAGCTCTTAGCTCTGGATCCTCCCTACTCGCAGAAACGAATGGATCAGAAGGGGGTTTGGTTCAATTTCCGGGCCGGGCGGAAGTGAAGGCCATAAGAGAAGATTGTCCTCAAGTGTGTGTGAAAGAGGTAACGTAGGAATCCGTTTGGCTCTGAAATAAAAGGCTGGCAAACTGCTAATAGATTGTTATAAATTATGGCCATCGAGGCATTGAATTGCGTCCATTTTCATTTGATCGGAACGTGTACATGTAACGGACTTTAAGGAGTTTGTTTATTTTTCATGCACCTCTCATGTGCCAAATCCCCTATTCTTTTGCCTGTTTCTTTCTGCCTATGTAACAAATTTTTGTACCAAAGGAGGAAAGAAATATAAGAAAATTATATTATAGTACAGTCAAACGTTGAATAAGCAAGTGGATTTAAATGAAACAAGCGAACATGTAGATAGGCTGAATTGCACAACGCTTGCCTTTAGCTTCCATCATCTCCGAAGCTTTCCTCATCAATTCCGCTCGCTTTCCAGCCGTTTGCCTAATATATCGCAGTTTTGCCACATGTTTCGCAGTCCCAAATCATTTCCACAGAAACGCACGTCGTTGATCTCCCGTAGGTAACAACGTATCGTTCGAGCAGGCCTTTTCTGATACCACGAGAAATGGTCGACTGCCCGCACCAGGTGTATGTACAACTTTTAATAAGCCTTCAACAACTTGGAGAAGTCAAGGAAAATGTTATGTTCCTTTCCTGTTCAAGAAGAAAACATGAGATGGAAATGGCTTGGGACATTCTTGCTTGGCGTAATTCATTTTTTTTTTCAGACATGAAATGAATTTTTAAATCAATGTCACGATGATGTAATGTTGCTCAAGATTTATTTAGCTCTTGATGTTTAATTGGAATTCTTATTTTGTGCACAAAAAGTGTGGAATTCGATATATATAAGATGTCGCGCTCGATTAATCTAATGGGATAGTGGTACGATATGAGAGTGTATGGAGACATCTCCAAGTTCAAGTCCAAATAGAGATGTCGAGCTCGATAGAAGAAGCCCAAGCAATCATTGAAACACTGAAGTATAGTAATTCTTATAAACTATGTGTGGAAGGTCATCCTACTTCCAACATAATGATATAAACTCAACTCGATAGGACACTTGTCAGGACCAAAGTATATTTTACAAGGATAAGAAGATCACTCGAAAATTCTAAGAATAACTTTATGCCTAATGTAAAAGACAATTGTTTCCACTCTAGATCTTGAGCTTTCCTAAACTACTTTCCTAAATAGTGAGATATCGAGCCCATTCCCTTCTTATTAGCTCCTTCTTCTTATGCCGCCCGAGGGCACTTGAAGATTGCTAGCTTGCCTTCTTCTTCCGCTTAACTAACTAAAGTCTTTCAGTAGTTAAACACGATTTCCGTATTCTATCTATACCCTTTGTTATGGACTTTAAAACATGCTTTATCAGTATATAGACAGCTGCTTGAGTATATAGACATCTATCTTTTAAGCATAGGTATAGGTTCGGCCTCAATGGAAATAGAACCAATAATGCATCTTCATGTACCAAAAACTACGAGATCACCCAACCTTTCATTTTGAGGCGACAAAGGGATCTTATAAAGGTGCACAAGGTCCCCAATCCTTTCATGTTTATATATGTACCAAGGTGAAGTAAATATATACACACTTTAACTTCCAACTCTATCGAAATTTTTATTAGTTAAAAGTGAATGACGTAGGATTGTTTAACAGAGTTTTTGATAAAAGTTTTAGGGGATTTTAATAAACGTTAATGATATGAGTGATTGAAAAGTTGATAAAATTGTGAATCTAATGAAATATTTGATTAAAATTAATTATTGATTTTGACATTTACTTACTCACATAATAGAATAGAATAGAATTAATCACCTCAACTTCTATCGATTGAGGTCTTTTACTGCATTGCCTTCGCAAATTTTTTAATAGACTGGACCGTCGGTTTCGACGCGTCCTTTAGGGTCCATTTCCAAGATTCTCAGAAATTTGAAGTCCTGTTTATAACTATTGGAATGAACAGTTAATTACCAATGTAAGTCAACTTTTTGGGCGTAATTGAATTTTTCGATTGTCTTTCATTGGCCGGTGCACGTGCAGTACTAGTGAATCCAAGTGTAAAATCAAGAAAAGGAACTAACTTTTTCTGGTAAAAAACCAAAAAATAAAGGTTCATCTATTCATTCGCACGTATGTTTAGCAGGTAAAGTTCGAAGAATTTAATAATAGAGTGGAATGATATAAATTTCCTTTTTTTTTATTTGACTCTGACCTACTATTTGGACAGATTCAAAAATAAGAACAATAAACCTAATTTTGACAAAAAAAAAAAAGATTACGATTATGCAGGCGAATTTCTGGATAGGGTTTCCCGTTCAACGACATTTTCCATAATCTGCATGAAAAAGGGACCAAACGCAGCTTATTTAATATGAATTCATCTTCTTTACATTCATATTATTACTATTTTATGTATAGTTTAATAGTAAGAAATTTTCTTTATTTCTGTTCCTATCTGCAGCTGTTACAATTATATGAATAAATATATGCATCTCTCTTGAAACAAGGCTCTATTTGTGTGAAATTAAACAGCAGAAATTGGTTAACCTGTTCTTACATTTTCCTTTGGTTTGTCTATTCTCTTTGGCATTGAAGAAAAGAACACAAGCCCAGAAAAGGTTTATGATTCGTGTCTTTCTCCTCTCCTTCTTCTACTTGTTCTTCTTCTTCTTCTTATGTCAAGATTATAAACTCAGAAAATTGAGTATGTTTTTGAATTAAGTTAAATGTATACTGTCTTTTCCCCGTCTTTTTTCTGTTTTTTACTTTCTTCCATGGAAAGTGTTCGAGTTCTTCTCTTTCTGTCTACAAAAGCATATGTTTTTAGCACTATATCTCTCATTCCAGATGATAAGCAGTTTTCTTATAAGGCGATCTGTTCACAGAAGGAAAGTGTGTGTGAAAAATAGAGAGAGAAAGATAGATCAGCAAATCATGGCTGAGGCTTTTAGGGTTTCAGTTGCCACTCTAAAATGCAAACCCTACATCTTATATTTATGCAAATTCATGACCTTTCTTAATTTGTAATTTGTTTTACTCATATGATTTGCAGGATATATACAATTAATATCAGAATATAGAGAGGATGATGACAGGGAATGGACAGGCAACTGTTCCGCCAGGGTTTCGATTTCATCCCACAGAAGAAGAGCTGCTTTATTATTATCTCAGAAAAAAGGTCTCCTATGAACCCATCGACTTAGATGTTATTAAGGAAGTCGATCTCAACAAGCTCGAGCCTTGGGATCTCAAAGGTAATTACCCCACTTTTCCTTTTTCTTTCATTCGGTTTGCAAATATTTGTTCAAAAGAAAAAAAACCCATTAATTTGAAGAAAGAAGAAAGTTCAATTTTAAGATAATTTTGTAATTATTAATCCTGTCATTAAATTTGCTCTATGATGACTGGCAGACAAATGTAGAATTGGATCGTGTCCCCAAAATGAATGGTATTTTTTCAGTCACAAGGACAAGAAATATCCAACAGGAACTCGAACAAATCGTGCAACAGCTGCTGGGTTTTGGAAGGCTACAGGGAGGGACAAAGGCATCCATCGCACCAACTCAAAGAGAATCGGGATGAGGAAAACTCTTGTTTTTTACACTGGACGTGCCCCTCGCGGCCATAAAACTGACTGGATCATGCACGAATATCGTTTGGACGATGACATTGCTGAAATCCAGGTACTTAACCCTCAACGTGAGAGCTATATTGAGTCGTCCGTCCAGGTTTTAGTATAAACGAGAAAAAGAACAAAATTTCTTTCTTACATTCTATTTTTCTGCTATATATACTAAATCAAACCTTGGATACTATGAAAACAGGAAGATGGGTGGGTAGTCTGTAGGGTTTTCAAGAAGAACCACACCAGAGGCTTCCAACCCGAACTGGACCAAGAAAAACCCGTACCATGCCAGCAGGCGAGTGGCTCACTTTTGGAACCAAAACTCAATTATCAAGAACATTACGATTATACATTCGATCACACTAATTCCATGCACCTTCCACAGTTATTGAGTACAGAATCATCAACTGTTCCTTCTTCATTCCGTTTCCTATCATCTCTCCCACTGAGCACCACCACAGATATGATGTGTGCACAGAATCTGTTGAGGTCAACGCCTGGAAATCCCGACGGGCCTATGCAACAAGAGAAATTCACGGGTGAATGGTCATTTCTGGATAAGCTTTTGGCTGCTCATCAGGGAATGGATCCTAGCAAATGCCATCAATTTTCACAAGTTTCTGAATTGGTTCCTTCTGCTCAGAGATCTTCATTCCCCTATCTTGGGTTTGAACATGATTTTTCGAAATTTTCTAAGTAATTTTTTCTGAGTTTAAAAAATTAATTTGTGTTGCTCACTTGACATTAATTTGGTTAGTTGGGCTCTTGACATTTATCATAATTCTGTGGCTGCAAATTTATATTTGAAGTATTTGGCTCTTAATGTTGGGGGCCTCAGGCTATAATTTTGGAGAGGCCTCCTCAAGAATAATATTTTTTGATTAAAAAAAATTACTTTTCTTTGCTTATCTTAAAAACAAAATTGAAAAATAGGTAAAAAAATAAAATTAAAAGCAAAAATAAAAATAAACTCACCTTAGAGTAAGAAAAAAGAGAGAATATGATATTCAAAACTGGTACTTTGATTGTAAGTTGCAATTGAAAGATGTATTGATTTGATTATTATAGTAAAAAGTTTGTCGGGGTTTCAATTGGGTATTCTTGATTGTTGGATTGAATTTTATTTTAATTTTTGCCCTATTTTTTCTTAATAATATATTCGTTATTTAAAAAATTAAAAATAGAAATATATAAAATTCAAAATTATCGAGCCTGGCATGAATACGGGGCACTAGACGATTGCCTAGATATCTTCATGGTAGATTCGACTATAATCATCGCCCTATTTTTATTTTTGAAAATAAATCAACTAGCGCTACGACTTATATATAATGTGCTTATTTCCATTTGAAAAATAATAATAATAATAAATTACGTGCTTATTATGAATCTTCATCCGCAGAATGTGGAAATTGCATATATATATACATTCTCGATTGTCAAATTCAACGGAGGGATCTACAAATATTACTCATTTATCCACCCTTCATCTGTATCTATTTAAAATTTTAATAGTATATAAATACTTCCCCTTTTTAACTTTCTTGAATTATTATCTTGTTTTAAATTTTTTATTCCTAATTAAATCATGGTTCCACTAAATTATATGAAGCTCATTCCTTTCCTTAACATGACTGAAACCATCTGGCAGAAGACCTAACACTACTACAATGTGAGACTGCAATCAAGAAAATTAATAACCTTTCACAACCATTATTTCAAAACTTTTTTTTTTTTTTTACGTACTCATTTTAAACCACACATTTATACAAAAAATATTTTGTACGTAAATCCAATATATTTTCCTAATTTTTAATCACACATTTTCCGAAAAACCAATATTCAAAACTCCATTTTACCTAAAAAAATGGTTGTCAAACAGAGGCCAAGTTTGAAACCAAGGAAGAACTTAAGGTTGTAGTGTTAAATTATAGGACTGTAAGCAAAAATCATTAAACCGAAAAATCTAACCGAAATCCCATTTAGAAACCGTCGGTTTGGTGCCACATGAACCCGTCAACGAAATGGTTTTAAACCAAACCAAACCGGTCAAAAATGGTTTGATTTAAGTTTGAAAATTTTAATTGCTGTTTAAAACCAAACCGGACCGGCGAAACAATATATAAAAATAAAAAANGGACCGGCGAAAAAAAATATAAAAATAAAAAAAATGAAAATTTCTGTAAAATTCAATAGTTTTGTCATGTGTGGGTATGTTTGTTAATTTCTAATTTTCTATTACATATATATTATCATTACCCAATAATCCTAATTTATGCCCCCGTTTGGTGCACATTTTTGAAAGAAGAATGCATTTTTATTGTTGATGTGATAGGGAATGTGTGGTTGAAAAAAAAGGAAAATTTATTGATATGATGGAAAAGATTATTTTATTGAAAAAATGTGTGATTAAAAATGAGTAGAAAAATGAGAATGAAAAAAATAATGTGGCTCAAACAGGGCTATATCTAATAATCTCAAGACTAACCGAATATATTAAAAGCCATTTTCCTCTTCAGAATTCAGACGAACTTCAACCGACACCCGACACAGCCTTGAGCCATCAGCACCAAATCGGAGACAGAGATCATGGGGCTTCGGTGACAATATTTACTACGAATAAAGTTTCAGATCAATAATTTTTTTTTGCAAACTAAGGTAAGAAATTTGAAATTATATGGGTTTCACATTTCTCTCAACTATTGGATGATTGTGTAATAAATTTATTCACTTTGATGGAAATTGTTTATCTACTATGTGCATGATTCTATTCTATTTGTGTGAACATATTCTTATTTTGTGACTGAATTAGACATGATAAAATATGTCAATAAAAGCCAAAAAGAGTTCATGTACAATTTGATATGTGGATGAGTTGTTTAATAAGCTAAAAAAAATCAACAATGACTCCAGTGGCAACTATACTTGCATCAATTTAATTTTTGTGTTTTATTTTATGCTTAGATATTTTGTTAAACTGTTTCTTTAAGTGTTTTGAATTAATAAGGATGATATCTATTCAGTTAGTCTATTAAAGTCTTTGATTTTGATCAAGTAGGCGGTAAAGTTTATCATTTAAGGTATTGCCTTATTGATGTCTCAATAACCGTATTATGGAATTATATGCTTTCAAATAAATATTTAATTTATAGGTGTTTTGGGCCTTATTGTAACGTCTTAACCTAAAAATGGTGAACAAAAAACTATTATTATGATTTCACTTGGATTTAGTTGGTATTTAAATTTATAGTGGATATATTTAGTTGTTTTAGATTTATTGCTAGTAAGATATAAATATATTTTGAATTCAATTAATTAATGAAATAAAAGTAGACATGCAAAAAAATATACGACGAAACCGGCGATTTAAAACCGGAACAAACCGTTAGGTTTAAATTTGAGTTTTTTTTCAAACCGTTCAAAATGGTTTTGTTTAGGTTTGAGTTTTTCTTAAACCGGTTTAGGTTTGTTTAGGTTTGGTTTGAAAATCTGTCAAAAATCGATAAAACCGAACAGCTTACACCCCTATTAAATTATACACCAAAGAAAGGTACATCCAGTGCCATGGCTCAACTTATATACTTGATGTATAGGGGATTGTCGCTACTTCGTCCAGAAGTTATAAGATCAAGACGGTAATGTAATCAATCTTATATCATTCAGAATCAAGTTGGGATGTACATTCTAAGCCCAGTTCGTTGGGCCCATCCCGCTTCAAGCATGCTCCTACATTATAAGACTTCATTTTTACCTCTTAAACTATACAAATCATATTTGATAAAAAATAATCAATTTAAAATAAACTTAATTTTATTTATCCAACAACCAAATATATTTACCTTGTAAATTGGTTGTTTCAAATTCAAGTGCTCACCAAGTCCCTAACGTAAAATTAATATTAGTGATGCTTATTAACTTGCCATAACAATATTCATGATATGAAGTGTCCAGTTTGTTAAACTCGACAACACCGAAATTATAAGAAAAGTTGACTTTTTTTTCTCTGTCAAATTATATCTAGTACTGCATATTAGCCTTAAGTAAACTCTCTTCCTGGTGGCTTCACAAAGACTCCCATCGAGACTACGACATGAAACGCTATCTAAGTACCATGCAGTGTTGTTGGTTCGAAAGTTCTATAAAACCTCTAATTCTAATGCTCTGTTTCTGTTCTAATTTAACAAAAACTTGGACATTCAAGTGCACCCTCTTTAACTTCTGCATCCAAGTCTAATGGTAAAATACGTAAGACAATATTTTGAAATCATATTTGTTTGTTTATAAAAGAAGCCAATCTCCAACTTGTGTAGAGGTAGAATACAGGGAATGTCTTGTGTGACTAAATCATAGGTTGGTCAATTGTTTGTATCCTGAAACAAAAATGGTATAGAACAATTGAATACTAAAATCACATTATCCATATCGGCATATTGCTAAACTAACAATGAAACCCAACATGGCACCTGCTATAACCTCAATTTCTGTGTGTCCTACTGATTCTTTTAATGTGGAGCAACCATATGATACACTTACTGATTCTTCTCCGACATCAGATGCCACACCAGAGGATCTTACTGTAGTGCTTTTTATCCTGTTCTCAGATTTAAGTAACACAGAAGCATTTGCCTGTTTTGTCTGAAAAGAACTCTGTTCCTCCAAGAAAAGAGGGTCAGTGCTCTCTAAATCGGAAGATGAGTCTCCAGGAAAAGAGTTGGTGAATGTGTCAGCATCGTTACTAGAGGAAGTTGAACTCATTCTGGTGCTTAGCAAAACCCTATTTAATTCTTTCGCATGAATGCCGACTTCCCTTCTAACTCCCTAAAAAAGAAAAACTTTAAAGTTTAGAAAATTAACTACCTTGCCAAACAATGAAAATAATGTCATTAATGCGATACAAACATATCAGATAAGCTTTGAAATAAGATGATTCCTAAACCAGCCATGACAGAACTTTGACATTCAAGGAAGTCTCTTTCAACATCCATTTTAACCAACTCATCTTGCTTTAATTTAAAACCGAGGAATGCTCGAAATAGGACATCAAGGAACTGGCTTGCATGCGCAACATACATAAACATAGAATTCTTGTTGTTTGAACTTAATTTAGTCTATATCAAACTTCAGTTCTTTCGCCCATTTATGAAAAAATAATGGTCGTTTTCTTTTCCAAATTCTTGATACAAGCTGAAAAATGTCTTCGATCTATTACTAACCAGAGCAGAAACTCGTCTCTAAAGTTGTTCCCCTACATCCGATAAAGCAAGGTTAAGTCCCTAATTCCTCCATATCAAATCGCTAAATTGAATTTGCACATCGATGCATCCCTTTTTTGGCAATTACCACATAAGCTAACAACTACATTCAGTAGTTAAAGATTGAACGAATGCTTGGAACACAAACCTGCGAGTCGTACATGACAAGGCCTGCATAAACTACAGCTAAACCGAAAATTGCATCAGAGAAACCCCTGCAATAACATTGAAAGTAGAATCAAAATCGAAGGGAAAAAAGAAATAGATTAATCAATAAAATAAATGAGGGCAAAATCCGATTAGTACCTTTCCAAACCAAGTGAAGTTGCAGTGGCCACAACAGCCTGTAATTCAGAATAAATATATCCAGTGAGAAAATCCCATTTCAGTCTGGTTCGATATGAACTTATTACCACAAAATCATGTCGATCATCAGATTACGAGTTCATTACCCAAACCCAAAAAACTAATTACAGGTACACACAATCTTATGCATAAGCAGAATAGTAGAAAATATTACAGAGGAATGGGTAGAAGGGAACCCTCCAGCCTGAATGACAGCCTTAAAATCAAAATTCTTGCCATATAATATAGTTGAAGTTATTGGCTTTGACAATTGCCCAATTGCTGCAGATACAGCTGCAGCTATCAAAACCTATACACAATAAATGAAAAAAAATTAACACCCAATTCAAGAAATTCAAGACCCACTGAAAAGAATAATCTAACCTTGTTCTGAAAAATGCCAGCAACATCACTAACTGCAATTGTGGGACATGCGAGTTTAGATACACATCGAAAGGGGAAATAAAGAATTCTTGAATTTTTTCGTATCAACAAATGGGCTTTAGTGGGATTAACAACATTAAATGGGCAGCTGAAAGAGTTGCAAGATTGCATTAACATAATTAGAAAATATAAAATCCTCTGCAAATCCAATCCTTTCTCCTTTGTGAAGAGTCAAGAGCATATAAAAGTTCGGTTTCGAATCTCGATCGTTGAATTGGTGATTTTTGCTTTACGGCGCTTGCATTTTGTAATAATTACAAGAAGATTCCCACAACGTTTTGATAATTCGTGAAGACACCGCAGTTTACTTCACAAATTTCAAAGTTTAAGATGGATTTCCAAATAACGTTGTCTCAATAAATAATTTTACACCTAATTCTCTAAAAAATTCAAATAAATAAGTTTACACGTAATTCTCTTAAAAAATCGCTATAATAAAATATATTTCCTCAAAAATGGGAGTCAAACAAATCCTAAGCATTAACATTTCACAATGTTTTTTATTAGGTTTATATTTTGTATTGGCGATTTTGTGAACAAATTGACCAACTTGAACATTTATAAAAATTTAGGGACTAAATTGTAAAGTTTCATAGTTGGTAAGTTAGTTTAGGGTTTGGAATTTTATATTTGGAATAAGAAGGATTCACGCCGAATTTTCGCTAGCTGCTCGCCGGAGTGATGCTAGAGTAATTGAAACATAAACTACCTCGCTCGACTTTCGCCCCACTGTCGCTCGAGCGAAGAAGCCACCTCGCTCGAGCGACATATTATTCTGGAAAACTTAATTTTCTATTTTCGAGACTTTTACTTGGTCCATGCAACATATTTCGTCCAACGAGAAGGTGATTGAACACATTCTATTCCATAGAGAATACATCCTACATCAGATTAAAAGGTCAATCTTTCAATTCATATGTGCTTCTTTCATAGAAAACATCAAAGCCATCAAATCAAACATTGAATTGGTTTCTTCGCTTGGGTCTGCTGTAAGATTGTGTCGTCAACTGTGCTGCATTAAAGATCAAAGAAGAATTTGAAGAACGAGGAGTTCTTGGAGAAAATCTATAGGAGATAAACTGCGTAAAGAGTCAGGTTTGGAGTTCGTGTACTCATTCCAGGAGGACTGCTTTACAAAGAACAGTCGGGTTTGGTGTTCGTATGCACATTCCAGAGGGCTACTTTTCACTTCAAACAGGAGATCAGAAATCTTGTGTTGTCAACTTTGCTGGTTGTCTGTAAGTATATTATCAGTTTATAGTGGATTTTTGACTGGCAAAGCGCCCGAAGTTTTTCCCACGTTGGGTTTCTCCTTGAACAATTCTGGTATTGTTTACTGCTTTATTTATTGTTGTGATATAACTGTGGTATTTAAATATATGCTAAATTGGATTGTTTGACTAATGACCTAAACATAATCAACTTATGACATGTTGCTAGTTAATTAGATTGATAATTCCGCATTTACACCTAATCACCCCCCTCTAGGTGTAGTTGGGTCGAATCCTGCGTTTTTTACTTTTGTCCATTGAAACAAATAACAATCAGCAAAAATATAAATTAATACATGTTTTTGAAGTTAAAAAAACTACATAAATATCTTTAAAAAGAGAAGTTAGTTAAAAACTAGAATCGAATTCAGGATATGATTTATTTAATATTTTTCAAGATTTGAATTAATCGAGNATAGCTGTAGTTGATTCTCTTAAGAATGATGCTATATTTACCGAAGAAAAATTTACAGAAATCCTACAGGATATACACAATTAGGTGGGGTCTGATTTTTTTGGCAATATTAAATTCACGCGGGGCCCACTTGCCATGTGACTCATCTGTAGAAATTCTGTGAAAATTCATTATGTACATATGGATTAATTCAAATTCTAATAAGTAATTTTCTTTTCTTCTCCTTTTTAATCAATTCAAAGGAATCTTTCATCAAATATGCTATTGAGTCGGTCCATGATATAGTTATTGTTAAAATTGTACCTTAGATTTAAATTTTATTTTATGTTCCTAACTGATAAAGTAATTAATTTAACAAGAAAATCTATTAAAGTTGAAAGTTGTTTAACTTTTATATATTAGATTATGCATCTGTCAACAAAACAAGCTGGAATAGCTCAGTTGGTTAGAGCGTGTGGCTGTTAACCACAAGGTCGGAGGTTCAAGCCCTCCTTCTAGCGTATTTATTTTTTATTTTTTACCAGCCAGGAAGATGTCTAATATATTAATAAAAGAAATTGTTTTAGTTTTTGTTGTTAGTTATCACT